GAGCTTAGTAAGAAATGATATTTTGGGGCCTCACTCCTGAAAATGCTGATTGAATGGGCCTGAGATAGAACCCAAGAATCTATATTTTTTATGACTGTCCTAGATGAATTTTAAGATCAGGTGAGTTGTGAAAACACTCTACTTCAACCTACCTAGAGTTGAGAGTAAGTTTCAGTTTAAATTCGTGGTTTGCAAGCAACAGAAACTCAGGTTGGCAAAAGCAGACGTGATATTTATTGGAAGGACTTCAGGGAGTTCAGAGAGTTGTCAGGAAGGGTGCAGAACGTGACTTGGAAAGAGCAAGAACCCCACAACTCCAGAGGGTCCAGGGAACAATGGCTGGAACGAACAGAGACCAGTTGTTTCCAGTTGTTTTTTTTTTTTTTTTTTTGCTTTGCTCACAAAGCAATTTGAATTTCAGGTAGGAAGCAACTAACCGGCCAACAAAAAGGCAAGTCATTATCATCAGCTCATATTTAGTGGAAAAAGGTAACTCCCTAAAAATAACCCAGGGTGCTGTTAGAAAAAAGATATGTGCGATGGGCATAATAACAAAGCAAGAATTTTCCACTTTGTACAAGCAGACAGGAGAGAATCAGAAGGAGGAAATGGAAAGATGGGAGAGATTTTGGAGTTAGATGAGATCTGGGTTCAAATTCTGGTTATGCCTCATTTGAACTTTCTTACCTTGACAGGTTCCTTAACCACTCTGATATATGACCTCTTCTCAGGGTTATGCTGTCATGTGTGAAATATCTGGGATAGCTAGTTCTTTCCTTGCCACCTTGCCTGGCATCATGGCAGGTGGTCTAATGTGCTCATACAAGTGGGCTGGAGACCGTGGAGTCGTGCAGGAAAGGCTCATGCACATGAGGTTTCATCGTTGGGAATGTAAGGATGTTTGAAACTGGCCATCTCTTTACAGGCCATTTATAGGGCCAACATTCTGAGATTATCTGAGCCTCTGTCTTGAGGCAGCTGGAGCCTCTCAGATGAGCCATCTAAACATCTCAAGCCTTTGAAACTTTCTATCATCATCATCATCATCATCATCATCTCGGGACTCATGTGTATTCTCCATTCTTCTCTTTGGCCAGAATATTTATACTTGATGAATGCTTTGTACACATTAAAAGCAGATAAACTGTTTTCCCTGCTGAAATCCATCTGCTTAAAAATGAAGGACTTAAAACAAAGATTAAACCTAGCACTGTGCTCGTTTATAAACAGCACTCCCAGATACATGCTGCCCCCATTAGCCTTGCCCGCTTCCACTGCTCCTCCTCAGTCCTGCGGTGTCTGTCTCTGTGAAGCTGGTGATAACAGACAGATATAAACAGTGAACTCCACGCAGGGCAGAGGTTAAATCGGTCAGTTGGGTCCCCTTGGCAGGCAATGTTCTCAGGAGCTCTGCTGCTGCTGACTTTAAATATGGGTGGCCTCCAACGTTAACAAAAGGTCAACTGATTAATTCACCATGAAAACCAGATATCCTACCGGTGTTATCTCATCCTCCCTCACCTCATCCAGGCATTAGCTAAAGCACCCGTTTATTATATTGTCAGGTGTTTAATATCCCTTGAAAAATTATAGATGGCATCCACCCACAGAGATACGTAGATGGTGGTAGAGAAGAATGGTGGGGAAAGTTTCTAAGATAGTGAAACGGCAAGGGTAAGAACGTTCTGGAAAGACATTCCAGAAGGAATGGCCTATACATAAGGAGAAATCCAAAAAGGCATTGTAGATAAAAGACACAAAGAATCAATCATGGATGAGGAACTGGGATACAGAGAGAGGTAAAAAAGGCTTAGGACAATAAAATTTTCTTGAGATTTTTGGTGTAAGTATATGTGGGCTACTCTTGGATTTCATAACAGTAGGTTTAACTTCTGCAAAATTTTGCAAAAGTAATTCTTTCCAACCAAATTCACCCAAAAAATTATCTCACCATAATCTGGGAGAATCTATTCATTTCTTGGATTTCTTCAGGGGGTAGTTTGAACGAAATTAAACTGTGAGTAGGTTAAACCAACATATAAAATCGATTTCAGTTTTTGGGGACCTCAAAGCCTTCTTTTCATCAAATCACTCTATTTCATTCTACTTGTATGTGCAACTCTTAAGATGAGAATTTTTAAAATAATATAAATTGTAGAATGTGTATATACCTGTACAATGGAATACTATGCAGCCATGAAAAACCTATGTTGTAGAACCACGTTTCTTAAAGTATGGTTTGAGAAAGGATGGTATTAGAATCAGTTAGGGGTGCCCATGAAAATTATAGACTCCTGGATACTACTGCAGACTCGGTTGGTTTAGGATCTCTAGGCAGAAGAACTAAGAACAAGCAGCTGAACATCCTTCCCAGGTGATTCTTAGGCAGAGTAAAAGTTCAGAGCCATTGTGGTAGAAAAATATGTAATGTTTTGAGAAAACTTTTTATATAATATGCACAGTATAATTCCAATTTTGTAAAAGAGAAAAATGCATAAAAATGCTCAGACTATAGACTGGAAAGTAGAATGGTATACACTCAATATGAGCAGCTGTTATCTCTGGGGTGTAGGAAAATAAATTATTTTTATTTTGTTTCTTTCCATATTTTGACTTTCAAATTCTTCTATAATGAAAATATATTAACATAATACTAGGAAAAGTCTTAATCTTCCTTAAAATATTGATATTTGTATGGATTCTGAGGAAGGCCTTACTGATACCGATTGTTGTAAAACAAGAATAAACGAAGAGTCAGGAAGATGGTAACCTGAGGACGGAGCATAGAAAAGAGAACAGATCCTCTTGAGTCGAGAGCCAGGGCGGGGCTGGGAGAGGAGATTCAGGGGGTGGGCAGGGAGGGCAAGCTTCAGCCCACATTGGATACACGTTGCACAAGGACTTGAAACTGCACTTTTTTTAAGCCTTTAACGTTTGCAAAAAAATTTTAAACATCTCACAGGAAAAAGGTTAAACCACAAACTATAGACCCCATCCTCTGTTGTTGTTTTATTTCCACTTAAGCTCCTCCTTATCATGATGTATTTACTGAGAAAATGTTTTTCGTGTCTCATGGAAGAAGAAGGGATCTTTCTCTCTCCCATGCAGAGCGATCAAGGAAGAAATACTCACTGGGCACCTCCGATGTATCTAGCTCTATGCTCTGGGCTGCAAGAGAAAAAAGCAAAGGATGAGTTGGCAGCCTCTTTTATGCTTGTTTTGCATCAAGGAGATTATAATCTAGTTGAAGAACCGTGAGGCCATGCGCTGTAAGCAGGTAGCACGGCGGCGGTGCTGAAGTTTGTGCGGGAGGAGTCGGGGGACAGGAAGGGACCGAGTGCGTGGGAGCGCTCTCTGAGGAGCGGCTCATGGCTGATCTGAAGGAGTGTGTTCAAGAGGAAGGGTGAATCGTAATGTTTTCTGACAACTTCTTGGCAAGTTGTAGTTTTGATGAGGCGACTATTACCAGTGAATACAAGTTCAAGAAAGGATAGTTTCTCTGAATCTTGTTTCTGAAATATGAAATGTACACATATTACATTTTAGGAAATAAATGGCACTATTCAGTATATCAAACCATTTTGCAAATGGTGCCTTATGTTAGAGTTTTATAGATGGCTGGCATCATCTACCCAAAGATTCTTTTGTGTGGTATTTGTAATTAATAAATACATATTTTTCTGGTCACTGGGCTAGGTTTTGGGAAATGTTTGTTATATCAGGGTTTACATAGAAATCGAATGCTTTGCATATTTCATTTCCTGTTCAGAGAGCTGAAAGGACTTAAAAACTCAGAGCTCATCAATATCATCTTTCAGATCTCTTCCAGTCCCAAGATTAAATAGTCTATCTATGATTCTCTCCTCAACAGATGACAAAAACAAGCTGCAGGTGTGTGTGGCCTTTGCCCTTCAGTGCATCTGTGCCAGAAGAGCATCAATAAAACAAATAAGCATTGGGCACCACTGTTCAACTATACACTAATACCTGTCTATTATAAAGTAATATTGGGAACATATTTAGGGAGGTGAATTTATAGTTTTTAAATTGCATTATATATCCCATTAATTTTCCCAACGTTATCTTGAAATAGAAAGTGGAGAAAGAAATATAATTTTCTTATTTTGCTGACAGAATACATGAGATGTTGAGAGGCTGATTATTTGTGGCCATGGAAGGTGTGGGGAAAAATGGTTGTATTCAAAGCAACCAGCTGATTTGGTTGGTCTAGAGGAAGAAGCGGTCAGTTCAGTGGTGGAGGGGAATGTGCTGTAATGAAGAGGCCCTATGTGAGCAACTGCTTCAGTAACTGGGCTTAGGTCACAGCAGTCACTGCGAAAGCCACGCGGAGATTCAAACGTTGGCTTTTTATTCAAGAAGGTGAGACAGTTGGTTTATTCAGTTAAACAAAAAAAACATGATCAATTCAATATGGAAAAATTATAATATCACTTGTCTTGTTTGAATAGAAAAAGCAATCGGTTAATTGAAGTTTCAAACAGAGGTGAGGAATTATCTATTATTGAATGTATTTGATGCTGCCTAATCATTTGTTCTCCAGAATAAACATTCCTTGTTGAATAAATAAGCCCACATATAAAATACAGGCTTGGGGCTGGCCCCATGGCCAAGTGGTTAAGTCTGCATGCTCCACTTCAGTGGACCGGGTTTCACTGCTTCGGATCCTGGGTGCAGACCTACACACTGCTCATCAGGCCATGCCTTGGCGGCATCCCACATAGAAGAACTAGAATGACTTACAACTAGGATATACAACCATGTACTGGGGCTTTGGGGAGAAAAGAAAAAAGAAGATTGGCGACAGATGTTAGCTCAGGGCCAATCTTCCTCACCAAAGAAAAAAGCATACCTTTAAAACAAACAAACAACAACAAAAACACAGGCTGTAATGGGTTCTGTGTGATTCTTGAGTATCAGGCCTATTTCCTAGAATTCTTCATGTTCTCTTCTCTTCCCTGTGTCCCACTCCTGTGAGCAAGGAGGCTTGGACTCAGTTTCCACAATAGCTCCTTGTGGAAAGCAGAAGAAGAGGGGACCCTGTGGATCACTTCCTGCTGTTGGCGAGAGTTTGTGTGAAGGTTGGAGAAGTTTTAGGATGCTGCCCTCACTGGTTCCATCCCAACACACCTTGTTTTGAAGGCCAGAGATTGTGATCTTGAGTAAGTAACTAAGCCTTTCTGTTAAGAGGGAGTAATAACACCTCCCTGGGTGCCCCTTGGGCAAAGCTGTTTATCTTCACAGAGCTTTAGTTTTCTTCTTTACAAAATAAGGATGACAAGAATACTTACCCTACAGGGTCTTAGACTGGGCACTGCACCAATGCTTTACGTATATTTTCTCATTTAATTCTTACAGCATTCCCATAAGACAAGTATAATTATCATTCCCATTTTACAGATGAGAAGACTGAGGCACAGAGATGTTTAGTAACCTGCCGAAGGTCATACACTAAGTGGCAGAGCCGAGGATTGAACCCGGATCTGATACTCAAGTCTGTGCTCTTAACCCACACACTGCACTTCCTCTTCTTTATACACATGTCAAATGGCAATGCAGCCCTGGTATCATACATTAATGGCCTGAGGAAAGAGTCCAACAAGCCTCAGGGCTGCCAAGCACTCCCTTTTGAAGAACAGTGGCCTAAACAAACCTTTTCCCAGATCCACAGCTATCACTCGTGCTGCACAGGTTGTTGGGAGGGTGAAACCTCAGGTGCTTTAGCCATGGCCTGTTGGTCTGGATGCTATGGGGCAAGTCAGAAGGCAGCCATACCTCGCCTGGGCATGTTCTTTCTCAGTAGAAGCTTCTGTTCCAATTGGCTGGTGTCAGACCAACCTCACGAAAACCAGCTTGCATGCACAATCCTTCTCTTTGGGGAGCATCAGTGCAGAGCAAACAAAGAGAGGCACTCCTCTCCCAGCCTCTCTGAGGAAGTTGGCAACTCTCCTCAGTGCTCGTGAACCCGCCTCAGAATGGGAGAAGCTGGCGCCCAAGGCAATGGGGCCTCAGAGTGACCGCCTGCCCCATGTTCCCAGGTTTGCCTCCAACGAATCACCTTCTTCCACGGGAAATTCTCTGAGCATATCCCTCTCACATGGCCTTGTGGAATTCGTCCCACTGGACCAGTCCAATTATCACCATGTGGTAGAGAATTGCCAAAAGCCACACAGCCCTAGGGTGGGGGGAGGGGCAAAGCTTCCCTCTGAGACCTCAGCGCCTCCCATTGTCCCTTCTAAATTGCCTTCCCCACTCTCAGCACTGCCCCTTACTGCAGACCCCAACGACCTCTGCCCTCCTTGGCTACGTGCCTGTGACCTTTGGACTCCTTCATTCAAAGGTATCAAGCTCTCCCAGCTAATCTCATACAGAAATATATTCTGCTGTGACGATGATTTAATATGTGACATCGAACAACCTACCAAAGTCTTTCATTTTTTTTTTTTTTTTTTTTTTTTTAATTTTATGATAGATTACAACCTTGTGAGATTTCAGTTGTACATTTTTGTTAGTCATGTTGTGGGTACACCACTTCCCCCTCCGTACCCTCCCCCCCACCCCCCCCTTTTCCCCTGGTAACCACCAATCAGATCTCCTTCTCAATATACTAATTTCCACCTATGAGTGGAGTCATATAGAGTTCGTCTTTCTCTGACTGACTTATTTCCCTTAACATAATACCCTCGAGGTCCATCCACATTGTTGTGAATGGGCCAATTTCGTCTTTTTTTATGGCTGAGTAGTATTCCATTGTGTATATATACCACATCTTCTTTATCCAATCATTAGTTTCTGGGCATGTAGGCTGGTTCCACGTCTTGGCTATTGTAAATAATGCTGCAATGAACATAGGGGTGCAACGGACTCTTGAGATATCTGATATCAGGTTCTTAGGATAGATACCCAGTAATGGGATGGCTGGGTCATAGGGTATTTCTATTTTTAACTTTTTGAGAAATCTCCATACTGTTTTCCATAGTGGCTGTACCAGTTTGCATTCCCACCAACAGTGTATGAGGGTTCCTCTTTCTCCACAACCTCTCCAACATTTGTCGTTCTTGGTTTTGGATGTTTTTGCCAATCTAACGGGGGTAAGGTGATATCTTAGTGTAGTTTTGATTTGCATTTCCCTGATGATTAGCGATGATGAACATCTTTTCATGTGTCTATTGGCCATATTCATATCTTCTTTTGAGAAATGTCTGTTCATGTCCTCTGCCCATTTTTTGATCGGGTTGTTTGTTTTTTTGTTGTTAAGCAGTGTGAGTTCTTTGTATATTATGGAGATTAACCCTTTGTCGGATAAGTGGCTTGTAAATATTTTTTCCCAATTAGTGAGCTGTTTTTTTGTTTCAATCCTGTTTTCCCTTGCTTGAAGAAGCTCTTTAGTCTGATGAAGTCCCATTTGTTTATTCTTTCTATTGTTTCCCTCAACTGAGGAGTTACAGTGTCCGAAAAGATTCTTTTGAACTGATGTCAAAGAGTGTACTGCCTATATTCTCTTCCAAAAGACTTATTGTCTCAGGCCTAATCTTTAGGTCTTTGATCCATTTTGAGTTTATTTTGGTGTGTGGTGAAAAAGAATGGTCAATTTTCAATCTTTTGCATGTGGCTGTCCAGTTTTCCCAGCACCATTTGTTGAAGAGGACTTTCTTTTCTCCATTGTAGGCCCTCTGCTCCTTTGTCGAAGATTAGCTGTCCATAGATGGGTGGTTTTATCTCTGGGCTTTCAATTCTGTTCCATTGATCTGTGGACCTGTTTTTGTACCAGTACCATGCTGTTTTGATCACTGTAGCTTTGTAGTATGTTTTGAAATCGGGGATTGTGATTCCGCCGGCTTTGTTTTTCTTGCTCAGGATTGCTTTAGCAATTCGTGGTCTTTTGTTGCCCCATATGAATTTTAGGATTGTTTGTTCAATTTCTGTGAAAAATGTTCTTGGGATTCTGATTGGGATAGCATTGAATCTGTATATTGCTTTAGGTAGTATGGACATTTTAACTATGTTTATTCTTCCAATCCATGTGCAAGGGATGTCTTTCCATCTCTTTATGTCATCGCCTATTTCTTTCAAGAAAGTCTTGTAGTTTTCATTGTATAGATCCTTCACTTCCTTGGTTAAGTTTATCCCAAGGTATTTTATTCTTTTCGTTGCGATTGTGAATGGGATAGAGTTCTTGAGTTCTTTTTCTGTTAGTTTATTGTTAGTGTATAGAAATGCTACTGATTTATGCACGTTAATTTTATACCCTGCTACTTTGCTGTAGTTGTTGATTATTTCTAATAGTTTTTCTGTGGATTCTTTGGGGTTTTCTATGTATAAGATCATGTCGTCTGCAAACAACGAGAGTTTTACTTCTTCGTTACCTATTTGGATTCCTTTTATTTCTTTTTCCTGCCGAATTGCTCTGGCCAGCACCTCCAGAACTATGTTGAATAGGAGTGGTGAAAGTGGGCATCCTTGTCTTGTTCCTGTCCTCAGAGGGATGGCTTTCAGCTTTTGTCCATTGAGTATGATGTTGGCTGTGGGTCTATCATATATGGCCTTTATTATGTTGAGGTACTTTCCTTCTATACCCATTTTACTGAGGGTTTTTATCATAAATGGGTGTTGGATCTTGTCGAATGCTTTCTCTGCATCTATTGAGATGATCATGTGGTTTTTGGTTTTCATTTTGTTAATGTAGTGTATCACGTTGATTGACTTGCGGATGTTGAACCATCCCTGTGTCCCTGGTATAAATCCCACTTGATCATGGTGTATAATCTTTTTGATGTATTGCTGTAATCGGTTTGCCAAAATTTTGTTGAGGATTTTTGCATCTATGTTCATCAGTGATATCGGCCTGTAGTTCTCCTTCTTTGTGTTGTCCTTGTCAGGTTTGGGGATCAGAGTGATGTTGGCTTCATAGAATGTGTTAGGGAGTTCTCCATCTTTCTCAATTTTCTGGAACAGTTTGAGGAGAATAGGTATTAAGTCTTCTTTGAATGTTTGGTAGAATTCTCCGGAGAAGCCGTCTGGTCCTGGACTCTTGTTTTTGGGGAGGTTTTTGATTACCGTTTCTATTTCCTTACTTGTGATTGGTCTATTCAGATTCTCCATTTCTTCCTGATTCAGTTTGGGGAGATTGTAGGAGTCTAGGAATTTGTCCATTTCTTCCAGGTTGTTCAATTTGTTGGCCTATAGTTTTTCATAGTATTCTCTTATGATCTCTTGTATTTCATTGGTATCTGTTGTGATTTCTCCTCTGTCATTCCTGATTTTATTAATTTGCGATTTCTCTCTTCTTTTCTTGGTGAGTCTGGCTAGGGGTTTGTCAATTTTGTTAATTCTTTCGAAGAACCAACTCTTTGTTTCATTGATCCTTTCTATTGTCTTTTTTGTTTCAATATCGTTTATTTCTGCTCTTATTTTTATTATTTCCCTCCTTCTACTGACTCTGGGCCTTGTTTGTTCTTCTTTTTCTAGTTCTGTTAGGTGTCGTTTGAGGTTGCTTACGTGAGCTTTTTCTTGTTTAGTGAGGTGAGCCTGTATTGCGATGAATTTCCCTCTTAGGACTGCTTTTGCTGCATCCCAAATGATTTGGTATGTCGTGTTCTCATTTTCATTTGTCTCCAGATAATATTTGATTTCTTCTTTAATTTCTTCAATGATCCATTGTTTGTTGAGAAGCGTGTTGTTTAGTCTCCACATTTTTGCACCTTTCTCTGCTTTTTTCTTGTAGTTGATTTCTAGTTTAATAGCGTTATGATCAGAAAAGATGCTTGATATTATTTCAACTCTCTTGTATTTATTGATGTTTGCTTTGGTTCCCAAAATATGGTCAATCCTTGAGAATGTTCCATGTGCACTTGAGAAGAATGTGTAACCTGCTGTTTTTGGATGAAGTGTTCTATATATATCTATTAAGTCCATCTGGTCTAATTTTTCGTTTAATTCTATTATTTCCTTGTTGATTTTCTGTCTGGATGTTCTGTCCATTGGTGTTAATGGTGTGTTGAGGTCCCCTACTATTATTGTATTGTTGTTGATGTCTTCTTTTAGTTCTATTAAGAGTTGCTTTACAAATTTTGGTGCTCCTGTGTTGGGTGCGTATATATTTATAAGTGTTATGTCTTCTTGGTGGAGAGTCCCTTTTATCATTATATACTGTCCCTCTTTG